GGCCGCCCAGCCCCGCAGCCCAGGCTAGCCCGCCTCCTGCCTCCGTCGCCCGCCCGCCCTTCGGCACCACGGGCAGAGCCCCACTCACGGCAGACTTCCGGGGTGCGCCAGGACACGCACACGCCCACGTCGCGGCAGGCCTGGGCGTAGGCGGCCACGGCCGTGCAGAAGCACTCGCAGTCGCCCCCGGAGTCGCAGGCACACGCGTCGCTCACGCAGGCCTCGTAGTACTTGGTGGAGTCCACCTGGGGGCGGAGGGTGGGGGGGCTGCTGAGCAAGAAGGGCGGATGTCCCACGGGGTCGGGGACAGCAGCACCCCTCCCATCTGAGACCCATGACTGCTGCAGCAGGGAGGCTGCCGCCCCGGGCACCTGCACTCCTGCCCTCCCTCTCTGACCTCACCCTGACCCTCGTTTCTTGCCTCTGGCGGCCTCTCAACCCAGCACAGGCCAGCCCTCTTGTGAGCGTGTGGGGAGCCTGTCCTGACAAATGGGGGGCTGCCCCCAACCACACTGCTCCCTCCCAGGCAGCAGAGCCCAGTGGACCCCAGTCTGGGCTGGGGCTGCTGTCGGGCTCAGAGGACTTTCTGAGCCAAGTCAGGGATTCGGCACAGGCGGACCTGCCCAGCTCAGACCACTCCTGCGACACCCCCTCCTTGTCACCGTGCAGGTCCTGGATCAGGACACTGTGGGTGAGTGAGCACTGGAGCCCTTATCACCAGGAAGGACCACTGGGCAGTCTCCACGGCTGATCCCCAGCCCTCTGAGCCATGTGGCCCGGCTGGGGGCTGACGGGTCAGGGAATGTGGGGAGGACCGGCGTGGGGTGGGGTGACACCAGGGCCTGTATGACTGGCAGCCCCGTTTCTGGAGTAGGAGGCTGAGTGGTCGAGGGAAGCAGTGAGGATGCTCTGTGCTGGGACTGGGTACTCCTCGGTGCCTGCCCAGTGGGAGGTCCACACGGTGCTCCGTGGTCAGGATGGTCAGGGTAAAGAAGACCATCCTCCCAAGCCCAGCCCAGGCCAGATTCTGCTCCCCCAGGAGGAAAGGAGGTAGGCCCACCCCCGCCAGCCCTCAGCCCCTGCCCCCCAAGCCCAGCCTCCGGCCGTCAGCCCACCTGAGAATGGCAGGCCTCGAAGGTGGGGCTGTTGATGATGCTGCACTGCTTCTGCGCCCAGGACTTGCGGTAGGGGTNGGTGCCGGTGGCAGGAGCCCACATGCCCCCTGGCACCCACCCCTCCCCTGACACCTGTGCAATGTCCTGGGATGACAAGGTGTGCCACCCCCCCACCTCCCCCCAGCCCAGGGACAGCCTGCCCCTCACCTTCCTGGCCTGGCAGGTCCATCAGGCAGTGTCCACTGGGGTTCCGGCAGGTTTTCAGGCAGGGGCTCCCACACGGCTGGTAGTGCCACTCGCACTCTCCTTGGGGGTTGTAGTAGTCGCAGAACAGGGCTGAGCATGGAAGACAGAAGCTAAGGGCGATGCCGGCCATGTGCCCTGGATGCCAGGGCAGCGCGGGCCGGCCCAGCTTGCCCAGGAATGGAGGGTCTCAGGGGCCTGCCCTGGCATTCATTCTGGTCTCATTTCTCAGCCCTGGACTGGGCACGCCTGTCCCTCAGGGACTCGCCCGTTTGGGGGCGACCTGTCTGTCTGGTTTTTACGGACACGTNGCCCCCGGAGTCGCAGGCACACGCGTCGCTCACGCAGGCCTCGTAGTACTTGGTGGAGTCCACCTGGGGGCGGAGGGTGGGGGGGCTGCTGAGCAAGAAGGGCGGATGTCCCACGGGGTCGGGGACAGCAGCACCCCTCCCATCTGAGACCCATGACTGCTGCAGCAGGGAGGCTGCCGCCCTGGGCACCTGCACTCCTGCCCTCCCTCTCTGACCTCACCCTGACCCTCGTTTCTTGCCTCTGGCGGCCTCTCAACCCAGCACAGGCCAGCCCTCTTGTGAGCGTGTGGGGAGCCTGTCCTGACAAATGGGGGGCTGCCCCCAACCACACTGCTCCCTCCCAGGCAGCAGAGCCCAGTGGACCCCAGTCTGGGCTGGGGCTGCTGTCGGGCTCAGAGGACTTTCTGAGCCAAGTCAGGGATTCGGCACAGGCGGACCTGCCCAGCTCAGACCACTCCTGCGACACCCCCTCCTTGTCACCGTGCAGGTCCTGGATCAGGACACTGTGGGTGAGTGAGCACTGGAGCCCTTATCACCAGGAAGGACCACTGGGCAGTCTCCACGGCTGATCCCCAGCCCTCTGAGCCATGTGGCCCGGCTGGGGGCTGACGGGTCAGGGAATGTGGGGAGGACCGGCGTGGGGTGGGGTGACACCAGGGCCTGTATGACTGGCAGCCCCGTTTCTGGAGTAGGAGGCTGAGTGGTCGAGGGAAGCAGTGAGGATGCTCTGTGCTGGGACTGGGTACTCCTCGGTGCCTGCCCAGTGGGAGGTCCACACGGTGCTCCGTGGTCAGGATGGTCAGGGTAAAGAAGACCATCCTCCCAAGCCCAGCCCAGGCCAGATTCTGCTCCCCCAGGAGGAAAGGAGGTAGGCCCACCCCCGCCAGCCCTCAGCCCCTGCCCCCCAAGCCCAGCCTCCGGCCGTCAGCCCACCTGAGAATGGCAGGCCTCGAAGGTGGGGCTGTTGATGATGCTGCACTGCTTCTGCGCCCAGGACTTGCGGTAGGGGTTGGTGATGCAGGGGTCCTTGGGGGCCGGGGCATCAGGGCAGGTCGGGGAGAATTTCCAGCTGTTTCCAAACTCCAGAGCGTCGCCCACCACGGACTGGCTCCGCGTGGTGAAGTCATTGACGGCGTTGTCGTCGAAGTTCCCGCACAGCCCGCAGACCTTCCCCTGCAGACACAGAGGCACACAGCATGTGGAGCCGGGGCTGGAGGGGCACCTGGCCTGGGAGGGGCCAGCGCAGGGCACCCAGTTCCCTCAGGCAGCACCAGTGAACTTGCAGGAGGGCAGGGTGCACAGTGGGTCCTGCGGTGAACAGGTGGATAGGAAGGCGGGCAGGAGGCCAGGCAGGCAAGTGGGCAGGTGAGCAGGTGGACAAATAAGCCAGTGGACAAGTAAGCAGGTGGGAAGAGCAGGCAGGTAAGTGAACAGGCGACCAGGTAGGCAGGCGGGCAGGTGGGGGCAGTCAGATGGGCAGGTGGGCAGGTGGGCAGGTGAGCAAGTGGACAGAGCAGGCAGAGGGGCAGGTGGACAAGTGAGCAGGCACCTGCTTCCCCGTAGGCCCTCAGCCCAGTGGTTGGGAACTGCTGAGCAGAGAGACCCGGGAGCAGAGCTCTTTCCAACACCTGCTGGTCGGTTTGGCCTCAACACATTCTCTTCAGAACCCAAGCCCTCAGCAGACGGTCAGCTGCCAGAGGGTCCCGCAGGGCCAGGGCTGGGAGCAGGGCTCTGTCCCAGCCCGAAGACCCTGCAGCCCGCCTGCCCTCACCTTGTAATCCTGGTGCAGCCGGATGAACACGCTGGTCCTCCGGTCCCAGGACACGACCAGGCCCCTGCGGGTCTCGATGGCCAGGTGGGTGCCCATGTACCGGATCCTGTAGGGCAGGTCTGTGCCCGGCCCCCTCTGCACCACCTTGTAGTTGCCCTCGTGGAGGATCAGCTCATAGTTCTGTGAGGGACACAGGGAGCTGAGGGCCAGCACCCACCCCGTGGCCCAGGGCGGAGGCCCCACAGGTGCTCAGGGGCCTGCAGCACTGGGCTGGCATTAAGGATGAGCTGGGCTCCTGACAGCAGTGGACTCGAGGTGAGAGGCTGGGCGGGGTGTGCTGGGAGCCCAGATGCGGCGTAGAAAGTCGGGGGCCTCGGGCAAACAGAGGAGACTACAGCCCAGCGGGAGGCTGCAGGCAGCACTTGGGGCTCCAGCCGAGGGCCCGCTCCTCCGTCCAGCACCCCAC